CTCATTTTCTGGATGCAATGATGAAAAGTTTAATAAATAATGCATGTAGGTAGCTGAAATGATGAAGAATGAGTGGTGGAAATGCAAGGGAAAGCTAGAAATACATGTGAAGATGCTGGAATTTCAAAGTGAAGTGCACGGCAATGATGTTTTGGTGTGTGAATGGTTGTTGTTTTGCATGTGAAGTGTGTTGTGAATGTATGTGGGTTAAATGATTAAAGGGGGTGGAAGATGGATGAATGATGGATTGAATAATGAGGCTCTAGGGTGGAATAAATGGTGATGCATGAGATGGAATGATGAATGAATGGAATGAAATGTTTTGCACGGTTTTGGTATGGAGAAAGGGATGAATGTGCATTATGTTGGGAAGGCTATGGATGTGCATGGCACAAAGGTGTGGATGATTTATGAATGCATGTAGGGTTAGTGATTTGTGGTGCAATGATGAAGAGTGAATAAAGAATGCATGTAGGGTTAGCTAGGAAAGTGGGAATGTGGTTGAATGATTAAAGGGACATGCATGTGGCTTGTTTGATTGCTTGGTGAGATGATGCACGGCACAAAGGGGTGAATGGTGTGTGTAATTGCATGTGTGTGTGAGTGGTGGTAGTGGGGTGAATTATAATGAATGCATATGGAATAAAGATGGAGAAGGTGGTGTAATGATGCATGCTTGTAGTTTAGGGTGTTGAATATGGATTTGCATGGCTTTTGAATTGATTTTGGGCTTTGGAATTGGAAGGAAATGCATGGCAAAGGGCTTGGTTTAAGAGAGAATGGGCTAGGCCCTTTGTTTTATGTCCAAAGTGAATACAAGGCCTTCAAATTCGTCCAACATTTTGGCTCCAATCATATGCTATCCATTCCAAGCCCAATTTTGCTCCAAAATGCTCCAAAATGCATCTTTTTTCTTCCTTAAGCCCTTAGAACCTGAAAACACACAAAAGAAGCATAAATGACTAAAATAACTAGAGAAACATAACGTAAATGCACGAGAACAAGCCATTTAAGTCGCATGAATATGCTCCTATCACCTCCTAATGTAATTTCAATTTGGGTTCATTTTTTATTCAATCAATACTTATTTGATCATGGGTTCCATATTATATAATCTATATTTGGAATTCAGATTTTGAGCCAACTAATATTAATGTTTACCACAATATACTTATCTGGTGGGTTTTGAATATAATCTATGTTTGAAATATTAACTAGGGCTTAACAGATGTGACATTTTTAATAAGTTAGATTCTTATTTGGAATATTTAAAAATGTTAAGACCAATTTAGAATGACACTAAAAGATTGGGTTAACCTAATAATTTTATTTAATGGTTAGGACAAAACTCAATATTAAACAACCCAACAAATTTACCCAACTACCATTTTTCATCTTTCCCTCATTTCTCTTATACTGGCCCCACACCTGCTTCTTCTCACCCCTCTCTCTTCCTCCTCCATCCATCCACTTGGCCCCACCCCTTTTCTGAACACATTGATATAATACTAAGATTTTTTTTTAAAAAGTATAATTTTTTTTAAATAGTGTGACCATCGTTTTTATAAATAGTTACATCATGTGGCAGCAATTCTAGAAATACTGCCGTCATTTTCTCGAAATAGTGTCGTCGTTTTTAGATGTATCGGCACTGATTTTAGAAATGATGTCATCGTTTTTAGAAATAGTGTCATAGTTTCTAGATTTAATAGCACCAATTTTAGCAATAGTGTAATCGATTTTAGAAATAGTGTCATCGATTTTAAAAATAGCTTGACCATTTCCAGAAATAGTGGCACTGAGATTAGAAATAGTGGCATTAAGACTGGAAATAGTGTCACTGTTTCTAGAAAAATAAAAAACATGAAAAAAAAAAAAAGTTGACTAATATAATAAGAAAATGACTTGAATTTTCATCAATTTGCTTAGAAATTTATTATTTTAATAAACAATATTCTTATTAATACAATTTTATAAATATTTTTATTAAAAATTGTTGATAATGGGTGGAAAGAGTGACATAAGAGAGAGAAGAGAGAGATGATAGTGATGAAAGAAAGATGAGAGATAGGTGATGGTGATGTGTGAAATAAGAGAGAGAGATGATGGACTGGTTATAGGTGGAGAGAGAGAGAGAGACGGAATTCGGGAGGGATGAGGGAGGGTGGGAGAGAGGGAAAGAGGGGGAGGGAGATTGGAATATAAGTTTTTTTTATTATATTAAACCTTTTCATTTTCATTAAAATTCAAGTTTTTTTTTTCATTAAATAAAGTTATCAGGTGATTTTTTATTAAAAAAAAGTTTTGAGAAATCTTTTTTATTAACGCCCCTTAAATTTTATCCCTTAAAGAAGGAGATGGCAAAAATAACCTTAAATTTATCCCTTTAAGAGTGTTTTGCCCACTGCCTTTTTAAGTAAATCTAAAACTCATCCGGTGTAGCTAATCAAGTGCTATCTATAAAAGTATTTAAAATGCTTCATGAAATAAGCATATAGTAGGTGTTTCTTTCCAAAATCACTTTTAACTTTTTCTACCAAATATGGTCATAAGCATTTTGATGATCTAAAAATGCTTTCAATTATCTTAAGAACACTTCCAAAAAGACTCATGATCTCGCTATTTGGTTTAACTTATGTGTGAAACATTATGTGTGGAAAATTGGATTGACCCATGCCCAACCTAAGTGTGCCCGAACTTAATGAAAAACCAAGCTTGGTTCAAAATTTAAAACTTTTCTTGGTTAAAGTGCCCTTTTGTAAAATTATAAAATAATATACTCAATTAAAATAAGCATCACTTACTACATATGTCCGTAAATCATCTCTAATTTGATTAATTTTTAGCATGTATATCTTTTAATAGTGATAAAAAAAAAATGAATGGTCTCATGTTTTGTGCGGTAAAAAAACGTATACTACGACTAAATGAACAATGAGATGAACACAGAGTGTACAAACTAGAAGAAAACATGACAATATATTAGTGACACAAAATGAGGTAGGTCAAAGGTCAATCAACGGCTATTGTGTGTGTTAATGACATACGTACAGATGGCTAATGGGGTTATTAGCTCGTAGCTACTAATAGACCTTTCTTCATCATATTCTTTACAAACTAATGATAGCGATTATTATCAATTTTTCTTGCGGTGAGGTGCTATCACACATCTCTTTTAACTTCAAGTTCAACATATTTTTTGTTAATTTTTTTGGAAAGTGTTATTGGCACTCCAAAAATTTCATTCTACACTCCTCACAAATGTATTTTTCTTTCCAAATATAGAAAATTTGGAGTGTAAAATGAGATTTTTAGAGTGTCAATAACAATTCCCATTTTTTTTTCCACTTTAATTCATTCAACTTGACAGTCGAAAATTGAGAAGTGTGTGTGAAAAAAGTATGTGAATATCACCACCTGCAGAAATATTATCGTGTTCCTAAACTAACAAATTGAACATTACATTTCTTTGTTTAAACAGTGAACTCTTGGTTTTCTTTGACCGTTGGCAAACACATCTCTAATCTCTCCTACTAAACACTATTTATCTCAAATAAAGGGAATTTAACAGGAAAGAAAAAAATAATAGGGAAAGGAGGGTGACACAGATGGCTGCAATATGGTATAATTAGTCCACGCCTAATATTTTGCTGAAAAGTGATTAACTAGGGTGGATTTCCACACAACTCATCTTTCCACTACCCCGAATGAGAAAAAGAGTGGGGAGGGTCCAAATGTTGCTTGCCTTTAAGCATGTAGAAAGGCTAGGAGGGTTCCGAAAACAATGCACAACTATCATGAGCCCCTATGCAAACCCTAACTGTGGCCAATTAGCACTTCACATTGGAGGAAGATTCTCTACCCTCCTATTCCCATCCCTTTCCATCCTCTCCTCTCACATATTGTTTTTTGTTTTATTATCTCTATAAAAAAATTAATATAAGATGTTGACGTGGTTTAACCATGACCGTTCAAATAAAAGGGGATGGAAGAGTAGAAAGATTAGGAGAGTAGAGAATCCTCCTCTTTTTACATTTGGGTCGTGCCACTTAGTCAGAACCAAGTGTCCTTCCCTTCTAATCATTTTCCCCTAATCTTGTAATCTGGATGTTCACACTCAACCAAATAATGGACACAATTTATGGTTGATAGAATAGAATGTTTTCCAATAGTTCCATGTCCCATTGTTTACGTGGAAGAAGTACGAACGAGCTGAGATGACCATGGTACGAGCGGTAGACTTAGGTATGCTAAATTTCAACAACCGTCGCATACGTGAAATATATGTAGTTTGTTGGACATGTTTGAAGTTAACTGTCCAAAATAAAAATGGCACAAGCAGGTATGTTTGTGATTCTAATGTAGTATTAGTGTTGTGTGACTTGTGTGACCTGTGTCTCTCGATTGCACAACACCAAGCCGCATGATGTATCCCATCCGGAATTTGAGCAACCACTACATGCCATTGAAACGCCTCTTGTTTGTCTGTGCGGCGCATTTACAGAAATGGCTGCTTAAAAAAACTTAATTGGAAGAGATTTTTCAATGTGATCGGTACACGGAATGGTACACTACGTGTCACTATATAAATGGTGGAATACGTGTGTTAAAAAGTTAATAACTTAAAAAATAAAATTTCTCACCACTTACATAAAAACACGTGGTGTACCACCCGTGCTTCCGTCGTAATGAAAAGTTTCTCCTTAATTAGCTAGGTTAATTAATATTGTCCTTGAGATAGTACTGCCTAATCTTTTGCATAAACAACATAATCATAGTGGCAGGTCACACTAAAAGGCTGTTTATATTGATTAACTTTATTTCGTTAGCAATGTCTGCCTGTCTCATGGAAACTTTTAAATTCAGGACCAAAGAATATCAGTGTCAGCTAAAAAGGCAAAGAGGATGAGGCGTTTGCTTCAAGAAAGACCAGTGAAGTAGTACTACCCTATTTTAATCAAGTGCAAACACCCTGGCATGGCAGTTTAACAGAGAGAAAGCTGTACACTTGAAAATGTTTATAGCTATCTGCATGTGAATACATCATCTCGTGGTATATTAGAATTTATACTCAGATTTTGAATTGAATTTATCTCTCGATCCGAAAAACTCGAGAAGATTGGTGATTTCTGCAGTTGCTTGTACTGCAGGATTTGGTTTAGTTGATGATGGGAAATGAGATGGGTAACAACAACACTTCAGGTTTGAGAGGTATGGAAATTTGAAGTTCGTTTTGAGAAGTTTTATTTGTTTTGTGGTGCTGACGCATAATTTCGTAAGTCATGAGCTATTTGCAATTGCATTCTCCTGCAGATGAAGAGAACACAACGGTTGTTGAAGTTGGCGAAAAACCTTTGGCGGAAACTACTCGTGCAAATGAGATAAAAGAAGAAAATGGAATAGTAAATGGAGACGAAGGAACAGATTTTCATGAAAAAGTTACTAACTTGCCTTCCGATGGTCCAGAGAGAAAACGAGATCCTTCTGTTGATGATCAGATATTAGACAGAACAGGTTAAATACTTTTCCTAATACTGTTACTAAATATTATTGTCACTACTTAACACTTGGCCTTCTGTCCATAGAGCAAGAAGCTACTGAAGTTCAACCTGTTGATGAATCTTCAAATATTGTGCTGGAATCGAACAAAACAGGTGAAGAAGACTGTGAAATGCAAGCAAATATATTATTGAAAGGCTCGGGATATGAGAAGCCAATAGCACAAACGGAGGAAAGTGATCTGCAAGGAACAATCAAACATCGGCTTGAGAAGCAGGCTTCTTTCAAGAAAGGTATGTCTCCATTCTACTGGTTAAAATTTTTTTTCGTTTAGATATTTCAATCATTTATTCTGTTTTAGTACAAGTTATAGTGTTTTTAGAATTTTTTATGTAGTTCACATTAAAATTTAATTCTGTAAATTTTCTAGAAAATATGAGTATATATTTATATGAGAAGAAACGAAACAAAAAAAACCCACCATAGTACTGATATGCTATAAACTGCAACAGAGGAAGAGGAGACAATGTCCACTTCACATGATCCAGAACCTAAAGAATCAACACATTTGGAGTTAAATCATCATGAAATGGCTACAGTTCATGCTGATGACCAAACTGTAGAAGATGGCAGTGGACGTTTAGAAGTAGGAAGTGAAGACTCCCTAGGATCAAATCCTGATTTCGAGGTGAATGGCCACCTCTCGGACACTGAGGCGTTAGAAATTATGGTTGAAAGTGTTGATTGTAACACTGATCCAATTAGGGAGAAGCAAAGGGATGACTTATTACTGGAGCAGAAGGCATCCCAAGAACAATTCGAGTCCTCCGAAGAGAAGTCTGAAACTAGAGATGGAGGTAAGGTTGAATGTGGATTGAGCACCACGATTACAACGATAGCATCCAATGGAGGTAAGGTTGAAAGTCATGAGGAGTTTTCAACTGAGATGGATTTGATTGGAAATTATTGCTCCGAATTAGAGCAGGAAGCCATTCGAGCGCCTAAGTCTGCAAACTCCAAGACAGAAGCTCCTGAACCCGAAGAAAAATGCATGATTGTGGAAGAGGAAATCAGGCTAATTGAAAAAGAGTTGGAACATGGAGAGAACAACCATGATGGAAACACAATTCAATCTTGCGGAGAGCCAGTGATAGAATCAGATTCTTTCCAGTCAACTGAGCCTCAATCTGAAGCTGCAATGATTGTCTCTATACTTGAGAGTAGCGAAAAGATACGTGTATTTAATCCTTTAAGCAACAAAGATTGTCGAACTGAGGAGACGGAAGTTGCTGAGAAAGGCAACCTAGCTGTCATGATGTGTGTCGAAAACGAAAGTGAGGCTTCTGAGTACCACTTCCTGAACTTGGGAGAGAAAGTTGAGGTGGTCCCGGAACTTGGAATGGTTCCAATGGAGTTAACTGTCGTGCATTGCAATGACGAGGAAAAGGAGGCAACAGAGAAGACAACTGCTGAAGAAAATGGGAATAACACTGAACCTTCGTGTGCAATTGCTGTTGATCATGATCAAGCAGAGGCTCTGCCCTTTCAAAGCACCAATGACTCAATCCTAAATTGTAAGCAAGAGAATTGCAGTGACTTCTTTGCTACGAAAGGTTCCACTGTTGATTTCAATAACTGGATAGCTGAAGCATTAGTCTCCATGAACAAGTTGGCACTCGACATGCCTGATCAACATGTTACACAACGTACCAAACCATCTCAAGCAGCAGCAGAAGCAGAAGCAGAAACTAAAATTCCAGCCAGCCAATCCAATGAACAATGTGAAAAGGTTGAAACATCTGAATCAGTAAGCTGTGATTTTGAAACACAAGAAAATGTGGGAAGATCCAGCACTGAATCAGATGTTGATAACTTGAATGTTCGTGCTCGGATACAAAAATCTCCAAGCTTCAGCCTTGATCTCCAAAATGAAGCAAGAACAGAGGAATCGGATTCTCCCCCTTTGCTGTATCATGACAAGGCTGCAATAGAAGGCTCAACAAGCCAAGGTGATGATGTTACCCTTGGAAGCTGCATCAAGTACACCGGATATGAACAAGGTGTTTCACAGTACCAAGCAATGCCGGTGGAAGAGAAAGTTATCACATTGGAAACAAGTAACTCAGAGAAGTCAAATACTTCATTCCTAGGATTCTTGAAGGAAGAGGAAGAAGCTGGTATTGTTGTTACACCACATGAAGATGATAACCGGTCGACTGCTGAAGATTCAACCAAGAATCTCTTGGAATCACATACTAAAGAAGCTGCTAGGGATCCAACTACTTCATCGAAAGGTAAAGCAAGGCGCAGGCAGCGGTCTTCTCTCTTTACCAACTGCATGTGTTGTGCAACTGTGATTAACTGAATACCTCTTAATTCATATGCTCCGAATATACCGGTTTTGATTGGTGATTTTCTCTCTAATTAATTTGAGTTCTCTGGGAAATAGAGTTCTGATCAGGAGGGAGACGGTAATTTTCTTGGTTATTCTTTTACTTATTTGGCTTAAAACTTATTTTCTTGGTTACTTTGAGAAGCCAAGAAAGAGTGTTTGTTTTCACTTGTTCCATCTGCTTCTTTATTTACTTATTTGGCTCAAAACTTACAGTACCTTGTGGTGTAAGTTACCGTCTGATGTAATTCCATCTATTTATTTGACTGAGAGATAATTAATTTGTAAGGTTTTGGAGGGAATTGTATTAAAGGCAGCTATATATGGTGCTTCTGATTGTAATATTTGTTCATTTTTGTTCATATAATACAATGATTTGATAAATTATTGTGTCAACTTAAACCTTTGAGGTTAGTGTTGTCTAACAAAAATTGCTATTTTTCAGTATTACTATCATCACTGTTTAACCTTTTGATTATGATGCAAAAGAGATGGTATGAGCCAAATTGTTAAACCTATCATCAGAACTTCTAGTATCGCGGTCAAAGAGAATCTTGAATACCACCAGCTGTACGTAACTATGCATTTATCTTTCTTGTAACTTATATTGTAAAATTAGCCGGAGAGAAATAAATATAATATAATATATACAACCAGCGACATGACAAAGTGAAATGCGAGAAGAAAAAACTGAAAGATCAGTGCAGTTATGGAGGAACCAACAAAGCACCGACCATAGATTCCTGATTGAGAGTCATTTTTTAAATCTGGATTAGGACAATGGTTGGCCTAAGCAAACTGGGACCAGGCCAGACAGAGAAGGACATGATGGCCTTGAAACATACCATACCATATACACAACCGAGATCTGATCAACCCAATATTGCTTCACATAATACCAGGCCATGTCTACATTTAATTCTTTCACATTTGATACATCGAGCCATAATCCAACCTTTTTTTTCTTCCAATACAAGCAATATCTCCTTCATCTTAATTTAAATTGTGAGAAGAAAGATTCAAACTCAAATATGCAGAGAGAAGCACATTTAGATTAGTGAATATGATTATGTTCGTCTCTCAGCAGAACTGAAAGCCTCTTGAGTGCTAAGACATAGTCAAAGCAGATGAGTTGCAGTGTAGGTTTAGGGCACACAGAGATAGAGACGAAAGTTTCCGCATTCCACGCGGTTTTGAGGACGGTCTAAGGTTTGAACTTTTGAAGCCAAAGACTTGGGGGAAATATGAAGTCATTGACTCAATGCAAAGAAACTAACGTGAAAGGAACAGCTTATCCTTCTCCTTTTCCCAAAACATGAAATCCAATTCATATTAGAAACCACATTTCCACCCATTGATCTTGGTCAAAGTCCGACCTCACGACCAAAAGTTGGAGGAACTTCAAATCAAGAAACCCAGTTGGAAGATAATCTTATAAATTACCCAAAATAAACAGACAAAGAAAAAAGAACAAACTATTTTCACGTTTGTTTTTTCTTTCTTTTTTGTTATATTCTGACTTTTGAATTGAAGAATCAATAAAATAAATAAATACAAGTGTGCAAAAGAGAAAAAAATTGTGCAAAAATCACTCCAAAAGAAATTGGAATGAAATGAATATAAAACAGAAGATATAAATGGTTGAGCTAAAATATATCACATTGAACAAAGATTTTGATACATCATCACATTGAAGCACACCATGATTCTGACTAACTAGAAATTGACAAATAATACAATATGGAATTGAATAAACTGAACAAATCAAAGGGGTACTAGTCAAGTACTCCTATATTTTTGGTCATTTGACAACATGAATACAAGTTTATTGCTTGAGGGCTAGTGATGAATTTGAATGAGGGAATTTTGTTCAATATGGATCATCCAATGGTCATCATCATCTTCACAAATTCATCGTAATTCACTTGTCCGTCACCGTCCAAATCCGCCTCATTTATCATCTGCTCGACCTCTTCGTCGGTCAATTTTTCGCCTAGATTGATCATTACATGCCTCAACTAAAAAAAAAAAAAAAAGAGCAAGAACATGAACAAACATGATTATGTGAAGTGTAGATTCTGTTGGAAATAAAAGGTCCATGTGGAAAACAAGATAAACATTGTCTAATGAAGGTTTGGTGAGTGTTCATTGCATGCGAAAATGTACAGGGAATCAAGATACGGATAGATCTCCTAAGAACTTGGGCTGATGCCATCTCTGATCATGGAGGGCTGGATGTTGTCTTTGGCTATATTTTAGACTTTTCATCCTCTAAAAAAAAAATTTTTAAGATCACTTTAGAGTTTTTTTTTTTTTTTTTCATCTCTAACTATGTAGGGTTTAGAGTTAATTTTTTTCATCTCTAACTACGTAGGGCTATATTTTATTATTTTTGGGGGAAGGGGGACTTAGTCTGTTATTGGATTACATGTTTTCTGTCATGTGATCAAACTTAGCATTACTCTTTAGGGGTAATGCTAAAATGTTTAGACTAAATTTTGTAAACTAAATGATATGGAAGTTGATGATTAGATTATTACTTAAGTGTTGATTAACATGCTTATTTCTTATTGGTAACATATCATGTAGTCTATCTAGCATTATTTCCTTTAATCCTTTTGTTGGAGACCAATTTTGTCAATTTAGGACTAAATGTAGCATAATCCTTGATTGGAGATGGCCTAAAAGGATGTGATTTACTTAGATTAAATATTGGGAATTATTTCACGAATACCCAAATAAAACATTTTATAAGCAAGTATTAGTATCACTTAAGCCATATGATTCTCACACTAATATTTTTCTAACTGCATCCTGATCAGAATCCATGCTGGCAATCCCTGCAATGAAGCCATCACTAATTCTGAATTTGGTGGCCTATCAGAGGTTAACAGCTCGAAGCTTGTAGGCCATTAGGTCGTTGGTATTAATAATATTGTATATGGGGAATAACCTCACATTTTTTAGCAAGGGCTTAGGGAAGGCAGATTTGAATAGAGGTCTCAATGCAGAGGAGTAAATCGTAATCGTTCTTAACTGCTTGAATTATAAATTCTATGTTGAGTAAAATTTCTTTTTGGAAATAATGTTATCACTTTTTATATATTACAGTCTCTTCTATGTTGTTATATGTTTTTTTCGGTTTCTTAACTATGTTTTGGTGTTAATATATGTTCTAATGCAACACTATGAATAATCATTTCAAACACATGAAAAACGTGTTTTGTGAACAAAATGTTCACAGAATTAGACTAACTGGCTTAATCGCCAGTGGAATTTATTTGATAAATTCAAATTAAGCTGATAATAATTAACCTTTTATTCAAAGGAATCGTTGCGTATGAATTTAATTAATGAGATGGAATTTTAATATTGTGTTTTACCTCAGTAGCTGAAATGTATCCATTCTGATCCTTGTCAAATACTTTGAAGGCCTCTTTGAGCTCCTCCTCTGCATCAGTTTCCTGATGCATATATACATTCATACAAACATAATTAAGAACACCAATATGGCATTTTAAGACTAACTAATCTTTATATAATCAAGCTATATATCTGCAGTGCCATGCATATATAATTTTATACCTTCATTTTGTTTGCCATTAAACTCAAGAACTCTGCGAACTCAATGGTCCCATTTCCATCAACGTCCACTTCGCTTATCATGTCCTGAAGCTCCTCCTCCGTCGGATTCTGATCCAGAGACCGAATCACCGTCGCCAGTTCATCCACAGTAATGCAACCTAATAAAACATGTACATGTTCAAAATGTTTTCCGTCAATGCCAGTTCATATAGTTATCAAACGAGCGCCTAGTTTTTGTGCACACACTTCTAAATCTGAGAAGGTAAAAAAACTATATATAGCTGGCTAATGCAAGAACATGTTATATATGTTTATATATTATAGAGAATAAGGACTAACCAAGAACGGAGGACATGATAGTAGGAAACTCACCATCTCCATCCTTGTCAAATACACAAAATGCTTCTTTAAACTCAGCAATCTGTTCTTCGCTTAGTACGTCTGCCATCTTCTTTACTTGGCCTTTCAAAATACAAATAAGTCTAGAGAGAGAAAAAGAGTTCTGAGAGAGAGAGAGAGAGAATGTTGAGTTAGAGTATAGCTCAATCTTAGCTGGGTTTAAGTAGAAGTCCTCCAATGGGGTAATTAATAGGCAAGTGCGAGCATATTTTCATTGTTTAATATTTTAATAAACTGGTAATAATAAAATAGAGAAGTGTTATTGGCACTCCAAAAATCTCATTCTACACTTCATTCAAGTGTATTTTTCTTTTCAAATATAAAAAGTTTGAAGCATAGAATGAGATTTTTGAAGTGCCAATAACAATTCTCATAAAATATAAGAAGAAGAAGAAGAAGAAAGTAAAATTAGAAATGGGTGGTCAAATCAAAGCTTATATATGCATGACTGGAATTTGTTGTTACAGTCTTGGCTTTATTAAAGAGAATCATATGACTTCCAAATCTTTAGCTTTTTTTCATAGTTTCTACATGGAAAGCTTATATATGCATGACTGGAATTTGTTGTTACAGTCTTGGCTTTATTAAAGAGAATCATATGACTTCCAAATCTTTAGCTTTTTTTCCTAGTTTCTACATGGAACTTAGTGAAAGGGAAGCAATATATATATATATATTAACAATTTAACCGTTTATTTTTAGGTTTTGTCTTACAAAAAATGTGTATTTGAAATCATCCAAACCAAAAATATACGAACAGTTAAATAAAGTTAAGAGTGGTCCTATAAAATATAAAATATAGTCGTCATACATATGGTTGTAGAAAGTTTTAGGCAGATATATGTAGCTGCTTCACTGTAAATGCAGATGAATAAATATAAGAAAGGACAGCTGTAAGGGTTTGATGTTTGGGAGACACAAGGCTTTCAAAGACTAGGACGCTGAGGATATGGGGAGGTGTGTAAATTGCTCCCACAATCAAATTTTCCAGCCCCAGAAAGCACGCTGCATTTCTTATTTATATCTTTTTCGTTTTATTTTTTCAGCTTTCTCTCTCATTCGATTCGATTTGAGTTGTTTATTTTTTGTTTAGATGAATAAACAAGTTCATATTTGTTTTGACTTTTTTAGAGTTGATTTTTATATAAGTTTGAATTATTTTACAAATAATAAATGCCAAAAAAGTACAACAAAAAGATGCGAGCCACAAGTTCGGTAGCAATAGCACTCTCTTAATTAGAACACAAAATACTGGTAATAGTACTTGGAATTTTCAAGGCGTTTACATGGATGGTGTCTGCATTTTGCGTATGTTTTGCCTTTCTTATTTTTTTCTTTATTTTAAGAATGGGGGATAACTGGTGATAAGTTACGATTTTCTATCTTTTTTGGGAGTTGGAAAGACTCATAGAAACATTTCAGCATTTCCCTGACCATAAGTCTGGTTTCCACACCAACAACATATTTCAAACCCGAGTTCTCTAATTTTTCATTTAAAAAAAAAAAAACCTCGTAATCCACATTTTACTACTTGACCTCTAGTTACATATTCCTTATTTTTGGTCCTTCGCAGGTTTGGAAAGCATATTCGAATTTGATCATTCTCAAGGAACATGCTTCGTTAAATAAAAGGAAAACTAATGAAAAAAGTTTGAAAATTTTGAGTTTTAACGATAAAGACAAAATAAAGGATAAAGTGAATAATATCATGATTGATTTTTTAGTATAAAAATATAATTCTTTATTAAAATAAATAATATCAAAAACTTTTCGTTAAAATTCTCTTAAATAAATGAAGTATATATGAAAGAAAGTATAGCATTCGAGTTCAACGTAACCCTGTTATCACAAAAAAAATAATAATAATAATAAAGGTTCAACATAACCCTTATCACACATGTCACTCCTTTATTTTACGATCGAAATCGTGGTACGGCGAATTAAAAAACAACACATCAGATGCAGTCGACATGATGCCACGTGTCAACTTTCACTCAGATGTGAAGGAAGTAACTTTTATTGATTGACTCAACAACTGATACAATTCATATCCTTCGTCACCAAAGAAAGTAACCCACTTCTCCCAACTAAGGGCTCGTCTGTACGTTCCTTTAAACAACTGAATTTGATTTTTGATAAAATGTTTTTAGAATTAAATTTTACTAAAATGCAAATTAATTGTAAAAAAAATACTTGAAGTGCTTCTAATAAGAAGTATATTTTGGATGCTTTTAGCAAAAACACTTCAACTGTTTTTATAATTCAAAAATATTTTATTTAAAAGTGCTTTTAGTAATTTAAAACCACTTGACAAACGAGCCCTAAACAACCACCAAAACAGAATCTAATTACAATTCCCATTGATATGATGCTGACACGTGACATTAAAAAAAAAATTTCAGTATGCTGAAAACACGGCCAGGTATATCAAGCGTACAAATACAATTGGTTAAAAATTTGAAAAAAAAAAAAATCCTAACTGATTGTATTTATTACACTTGGTGTAACGAGCCATGTTTTTAGCACACTGAAAAATATCTCAATGAAATGAGGCTTGAATGTGGAAGGCATAATGACATCTGGGAATTTAGTCTTGAAAACTGAATGCTCCTCCCAAGCAGCTGTAGCATCATCCCTTGAGTGAAGTTGCCATTGAAATTTGGTCTTAAAATTTGGGATTGAATATTTCTTTGTTAGTTTAAAATTTGGGGTTGAATGTTTCTTTGTTTGTTTTTCTATAGTATTCTTCGAGAAGCCAAAATTTGATTACCTCAAAACCCAACTTCCATAGACTTACACTTCAAGTTTGTTCATCATCTTCCGGCTAAAAGCATTGACACCTTCCAACATTTTAAAACGAAATATTATGACATAAAAGCAACACGAAATTACGGATCAACTAAGTCACATGTTCAACACAGTTCCAAAAAACTTATGCGGTAAAGGTGCGTCCCCCGCAGCACAAATTCACAGACGTGCGTTTGTCAAATGAAAGAGATTATCTTAACCGGCTAGCTTCACCCAAGAAAGGGAAAAGAAGGGATCAAACCGTAGGAAATGCTGATAATCCCTTCACATTTTGTAACTCCTGTTTCAGATAGGCTGGCCCTTTGGAACAATTTGATCTTTAATCCACATGTAAATTGGAACCAGCACATAGTAAGCTCCTGCAGTTGCACCGAGAATGAACCGAAAAAGAAACACCAATGGATTCACAGGCTTCCTGACATCCTCCACCTTTGGACCAAGCTGCACCAAAGCAAGCATCAAATAAATACGAGAAGTAAATCTATCAAAGCAAAAATAAGCCTCCCACGTAAACCTACTGCATTTTCTGCTCAATTTTCAATAGATATCATCTAGGTACACAAGTAAATCCTCAATAGCGTAGATGAGCATCTTCTGATTAAATGGTCCTCGCCTATAACGACTCACAAACTTAAGTGTCCCCAAATTTGCTTTTGAACTAAAACTACTATATACCAAATCTTCATGTAGACCCTCATATGTATTCAAATTGTCCAAATCCAAAATCTTATTAGATAGCATTAATTAGTATTGCTTCCTCCTGTTTTCTGCTTTTGCTTCTAAAATGAACCACAGCCAGCGTTGTCGCCAACACCACCACTACTACTAATACCTTTACCACAACCACTAGAACACCATCACCAACATCACCCTTTCCGCTAATTCAAGCACCGTCATGGCTGCCCAGAGTCACACCTGCCATTACAATTTCCACCAGCATCACCATTTATGTCACAACCACCACCACTGTTATGCACCGTCACTAGTAGCTAGTACAAGAACTGACCACCATAACCTCTCCCAGCACACAACAATTTATATACTTGTGTTTAACTTGCATATTTCACTGTTTCTAGTAGAATTTTGAAACAATCATGAAGAAATAAGAGAATATAAAAACTCCAATGAAATTCTTGCAACCACCTCCACCGCCATGACCAAATCATTTCTTGTACCACAACGAATCACTACAGTCGTGTTTAATTTCCAAACACATCTAGTTTCCGAAAGAATTTGTAAACAAATATTAAAACAAAAACGTATACGCAGTTTTAAGAAAACAATAACATGGAAAGGTAAATGTATCCAAAAACATGGCATCAGGAAGAAGAGAAATCCTCGTAAAAATAAAGATTGAAAAATAACATGTATCAGGGTGTTCGTTAATATGCAGAAACCATGCCATATCACCTTCTCTGGAACAAACTTCATTCTTAAGTTGCCAGCTCAAAAGTAGAATAACGATGCCTCTAGACAAAATATTTCAAAAGTGTAGCAACAAGCAAGTCTCTAATTTGAATTGGAAGAATTATTTATTGGACTACATGCCATTTGATATGACAAAAAAATCAAGCAGAATTTTCTGTCTTCTGCTAGTTGATGAGCTATTTTATAGTTAGCGATGATTTCTTAGATAAAATAAATTCTTTACACAACCCCAAATTGTTATTGCAAGATATTGCTATAGACATGTGAGAGTCCAGACATTAATCAACCAACAAGAGTTTCATTCACTATAAAAAGAGACTCCAACATAAGCCCCAGAACATAGAAATCAATTACAGATAAAGAAATATATTACCTGGAGAGGGGAGTCCCCGGATACGGGCTTAACACCTGTCACAGAGCAACCCATAATCAAGCCATGGCGGCGGACACCACGGTACCATTTTGGACCAATTCTTTTCAGTTGAACATCTTTGAAACCAGCATTTTTGAACCACTCAATGTACTCTTCCTCCTTTGGGAAGAGCATCCACACATCTGCAAAGAAACGAGACAGCCAAAAGGTTGGGTGCACAGGGCCTATAAGGCAAGCCCTTCCTCCTATTTTTAGTACCCTATATGCTTCCTTGATTCCACGCTGTGGGTCTGGCCAGTACTCAATACTGAGAAACAAAATATTGAAATTGCATAAGACAAGATAAATACTAATGCTTTCGTTAATTAAGATCAACCACAAAACCAGCATATAACTTCTTCTCATTCACCTCAACGAAATTTGAATTAAGCGATAATAACCTGAGCTAAATTTAGGATAAGATCAAAGTTCCAATGACAAAACTCGTTCTTTATGATACATTTCTACACCTGAACTTCAAATAAATAACCCCACTGCTCAAAACCCCACCTGACATTCCTTAAATACAAACACATTACACTTTGAAATTCCTTTAATTGCAAACTCATTACACTGATTACAGGAAGCAAAACAAGCAGAAATTGTACCTTCCAGCAGAGACATATCGATCCGCGTAATCAGTTGGGAACGGCAGATCCTCGGCATCCCCTTCAATTATCTTGCATTCTTTCAAGGGCTCCTTCTCCTTAGCCTTGGCAAGTTGGTGCGGCGATTGGTCAAGAATGGTCACATTCTTGGCATCCACATGCTTAACAACGCCAAGAGTCGTAAACCCAGTTCCACCTCCAACATCCACCACCACCATATTCCTATCGTAAAGTTCAGCGGGCTCGAGCGCATCATCCCGCATATCCTCAGTCCAATGCCCAGGGTTTATAACATGATCATACACTACAGACAAAAACCTATAGAACCAGAAAGCTTCCTGCTTGTGCTGTATGAACCTAGGCTGGGAAGCAGGCCTTGAGGATGATACACTGCATATGGGTCCCACTAAAGTTCTGGTCTTTTGACTCCTACCGCCATAGCTCACTAAACCCTTCTGGGAAAAACCCCCATAAGGGTAATTTTTCCCACCAGAACCTAACCCACTTGGTGCTACTGCTATTATTCCATTGACAAATTTGAGATTCTGAGCTCCGTAAAGCATCGAAATCGCCATGATACGGTAAAAGAAGGAAAACCCACAAATTTAAACAGGTAAATTTACACTTTTTCTCACTGATTACTGGAAACTAAGGTGAAAAATGGCAGTGAGGATTGAGATTTACAGTGAAATGGGAACGCAAGCAGCAAACACAGTCGACTCCTGGTAATTGGAATAGTGGGAATTCATATATGCGAAAATTGAGAAAGGAAAGGATTGGAAAATCGGAAGGGCTTACCGACACACGTATGTGTGTTGTGCGGAGATGAAGATTACAGGCAGACAGTGTGTTAGGATGCCAGATGGCATCATCTGTGATTAACAATTGTACGGTAGAATTTATTAGGTTGAGCAATTCGGTAAAGATTGTAAGGAGTTGGAGGTCGGCATTAATAGAGGCTTGTAAATAAAGAAAAGCAGTTAATGAAAAGTCTATTATTTTGGTATCTCTCTCGGTACAATCGTAGAAGACGTAGAGTAGGTTCAATCATCGGTATCGGAGCTTAAGTTTGCAAGAGGGGACGACCTGGAAAGGGCTATCTTAACGGGACGATCAAAGGATGCGCCGCCGTTAAGAGGGAAAGCCACCAAAGCAAGGGCCTCCGTGAGCGTCGACTTTCGAAGAGTGATGTAATGTTATGATCCCGTAGTCGATATCGACTACACTTATAGGAGTGTAGGGATTCTTAAGTCATTAGGATCCTCCCACTGGATTAATCTTTTGTGTTAGACTCTTCTGCTTGAGTACCTAACAGAGTGTACTTGTGTCAGTGTGTGACTCTCGGTTGAATGAGCACCACACGTTGCGGCAGTACTGGTGGTGCCTATCCCTATCAAGTAAAACGGCCAAAACGGCGACGTATTATTCTCTTTTGGCGTATTATGACACGAAGCATTTTGTGCCTCGTAGACGAGACAAGGGGTGGCGGTTGCGAGTCTTGTGACATTTTCATAGGGACAAATCATGACAAGTGAAATTTATCCATTTAACTTTTGATAATGGTTAGATAGTGACATATTTGACTTCCGAAAGGTGTAAAAACAGTAACGTGTATATCTGATGAGTTAATTTAAAAGTAAATTGTAGTAATTGTTTTTTAATTTTAATCAAATTTAAGTAATGATCTTTCAACTGAAAATCCATTACCATTAGTCTCTTAACTCATCAAAAGATGTAGTTATGATCATTTTTTTCAACTTTGTCAAAACAAGTTATGTTGGAAGGACCATTACTACAATTGGATTAAGGTTGAGGGACTATTTCTTTAGTTAGATTAAAGTTGAGAGACCAATAGTAATGAATTTTTAGTTGAGGGACCATAGCTACACGTTTTGATGAGTTGATGAACCAATAGTAATAGATATCTAATTGAAGGATCACTGCTCCAATTGAGTTAAAATTGAGGAACCATTGCTTCAATAAGACAAACTTTAATTGTACAATGACTCCTCAACTTTGGTTTGGGATCAGGATCCTCGCCGGATCCATTCCCTAGGGATCCTAGGAATCATGCAATCGTGTCCGTTCACCGTATATCGCACGATTAGAAATCATTTAAAATTTAAAATTCAAATATAAATAGTACCTAGCGAAAACTGACTGCACAATATACGATAAACGGACATGATTACATGATCCCTAAGATCTCTAGGAAATGAATTCGGCGAGGATCCTGATCCTCAACTTTGGCCTTTGTAAGCAGTCACTAATTAAACGGATGGTTTCAGTAAAATGACTAATTTGGCCTTATTGGAAACGTGTTGGTCATCTGTTATTCCATTCTTCAGCTATCGTTGGCTCCTTTTGACAGCGAGAACCGTCGACCGCTCCTTCACCGCTGCTGCGTTTACCCTCTATCTTCCTTCCTCATACTCAATCCACTACTGCTTTAATTCATATGTTGTTCTGTCAACCAAAAAGCCAGAGCCCTGTTTCTCCAACTCTCTCCTACAGCAGAACCACCGCCACCATCAGGTGCGGCAGCTCTTTTCCTTTCCCCGTTCCTACTCCTCCACTATCCTCTGTCTTTATTCTTCTTGTTTCTTCTCTTTAATTTGTATTACTTTTTTCTATCAAGCTTTTGAAAATATTTTGGCTTAGAATTTTGTTTTGTGTGATTGTACTTGCAGAGCAAGGAGAACGTTACCCCCAATGATTACTTTAAAAAAAAAAAAAAAAAAAAAAAAAAAAGAAAAGAAGAGCAATTTGGTTCTGCCTCAAACCTACAACGAGTAAGATGAGTAAGTTCCTCTGAACTGTGATTTTTAGGGTTTCGAAAAAGGTTATCGGCTAGAAATAGTTTGAGATTTTGGGAGTTAATGTTTTGAGAAATAGCTCTGAATTTTTGGTTTTATTTTTGCTGATTTTCGAAGTGGTTGTGGAAACCGGTTCTTTTGAACCAGTTTAATCGGTTTTAGTGATTGCAAGTGGAGTGGGTTTTTGAATTTGTTTAGCCTATCTCAAAAGGTCAAGATTATATTTCCCTTCATTTTCTAAGTAACCAAACAGAAAATTAGCTCTCTCTCCTTTGTTATGTTTAACTTTACCAATTGATATTTTAAAATTTTCTTAAGTTACTTCAACTATTAAGTTTGAAATAATTGAATACTTGAAAATTGGGTTTTGTTTGATTGTTTGTGCCAATTGAGCTAATCTTTTGTTGTGCAGCAACAAGGAGAAATGAGTCTGCCGGAGGACTTTGAAGGATGATTGTTGTTGTTGCTGCTATGGATATGCCGGCGGAGCCTTTTGGAGGGAGAGTTTAAACTGGAGCTGTGCCCAAGGTGACCCTGATCCTTTTCCAAATTCTCACATTTGTGGTTGTTATTGAATGGTATGCATATGGAAGAAATATGGGAACCATTGAAATGTTGAATACTTTGATTTTGTGCATTTTTTCAAGGAATGGGAGAACCTTTGAATAAGTATGCTTCCTTAATTGAAGCAATTCATGTCAGTTGTGCATCTAATCTTATGTAGATCGGCATTATTCATGCTATCAAAAAGCTCGATAGTGATCTTCTAGCTATGGATTAGCGGTTTCACTTCATGCATCCGTCCAAGAAATCTGTTGTCGGATAATGCCTGCAGCTCGGGCTTTTCCTTTAGTAAAGCTTATGGATACATGGCAAGACTACCAAGAGGCTTTTCTGACCGGAAAGAAAGGCTAAAATCCATTATGATATATTGTAAACAAGGTTAGAAAACATATAAATTTAGTTTGAAGTAGCAATGTGGAATAACCTGCCACATAGATTCCGTCCAATATTCACGCCAAACATTTCCAGTTGCATCACGTCCCATTTTTTCTGAACCAAGCTCCTTGTGGCCAAACTCATCTGCAGCCTCCCAGTACTTATCTTGCCACCCAGTAACTTGGTCAGCACGACTCAGTAACTTGGTCAGCACTAATACCTCTGTTCATTGTCCACTTGCAATTCAACCCATCAGGCCTCTGCTCAATTCCAGATTCCTTCCACTACCTAGATCCATCCGTATTCACTCCATATGATGACGCCTCATCCACCGCATCAAGAGCCTGAGCTGCCTCTGCTGCATGTGCTGAAAACTCATCACCAAGTTCATGTTCCTCGCTCAAGGAAGGTGCCTCAGAGACGTCCACTTTCTCAACCTCCATCAGTGACTGTAAAGGAGGAAGAGGAGGGTTTCGATTGGGTTCTTGAAGCTTACTCTCCAAGGGAATTGAGAGATAATCTACAGATCGTTCTTTCTCTAGTACCGGATTGCTTAAAATTGACTTTGCTGAAGTTTTCCTCGCTGTCGGCAAGTAGCTGACACCATCTGAACCTTTATCACCACCCTGAGGGGGTTCCCATGACCAAAAATCAGGACCTGGAGTCCCGGTCCTTGAAATTTCCGATTGAGGCACTGGAACAGCTACACTCCTAATCTGCGCTCCTGTTGGAACTACAGACTTTTTAATATCCATTACAAACAAAATGCTGAAATGGCTGACATACAAGTTACAAGAAACAAAATAAATAAATAAATAAATAAAAAGGCATCAGTTCAATTGATAACAAAATTCAGATGCTCATCCACTGCCTACTTCAAATACTAAATCAGCATGCCATTACTTCCCACTGCAACTAAAAGTTGTACCCCGTCGACTGCAGGGTGTATTTCCTCGTATTATCCAATGCCAACATATGTTACAAATTCGCAACTCTAACTAAAATAAAAAGAGTTAATTGATAAGTGAGAAATGTATATTGAAATGTTAATGTGATACACTGTTCTAAATTTGTCGTATTTTATATTATCAAACGTATGAAATTAACAAATTGGCCTTGAAGCATGAACGTTGACTTTCGTTGACCACCTCAACGTAACGCGTATTACTAATTTTCTTAGTTTATTTTTATCCTACTCATTGCCACGAACGCATAGGCACGAACAGATTCGAATTTGGAGTTGTAACGAAGATTTTACATTACGAAACGTCGAACATTTTTTCGGATATTTCAAGTTTCGTCTTTAGCGACCTTGTTTTGTGAGCCACTAGGGCCCACATGTTTCCCCTTGTACCAATAAGTCCCCGTCCCCTTTTTTGAAAAAAATATCTAGCACTCTCTTTCTCTCTCTCAAACTCTCTCCTTCACCTCTCAGCCCTCTCATTTCTCTCTAAAAAACCAGCCCTCCCTGAAGGCAGCACAAACAACAACAACCATGACTACATGACCACCTTCCTTTGTAGTTCCTACGAGTTCCTGAACCAGAAAATAAAAGAAAAACCTTTCAAAAACTCACTTCCCAAGCTGCGCTATAGAAGGAACCCAAGGTCCCCCCGTAGGTTTTTCGACGTCCTGAACCAATTTACGATGTCCGTTTTCCCAAATTCAATTGTTTTAATAGAGTTTTATTAATTGGTCCTTTTATGTGTTTAGGTGCGTTTGTTAGTGGCGTTTCCGTCCCTCCTAGTTTGAACGGCTCTTCGACGACGGAGTATTTGTGGGTGGACCCCTTCCAAAATGTATCATTTTATTACTAGAAATGCATACATGAAAATCATGATTTTATGATTACGTTTTATGAAACATTTATGAGTAAATCGGATTTATGCTTTATGAAATATCATGCTTTATCGAATTTATGTTTACTGAGATATTTATGAGCATGATTTATGATATGATGTTTGAGCTATGGAGCTCCGATAAGATATATTTTGGAAAGACTATGTTCATGATTTTCTGTACTTACTTAGTGGATATTCATTTATATATGCCTTCGGGCAGGTGATTTAGGGCCTTCAGGCAATTGACACTTATATATGCCCTCGGGCGAACGATGTAGAGCCTACAGGTGGAAGATTTATATATGCCTTCAGGTGGGTGATCTAGGGCCTACATGCAGAAGATTTACCTTCGGGCGGGTGATGTAGGGCCTTTGGGCAAATGATATCTATATATGCCTTTAGGCAGGTGATGTAAGGCCTTCGGGCGAATGATACTTATATATGCCCTTCGGGTGGGCGATGTAAGGCCTTCGGGTGATTATGATACCACTACTAAGCACATTATCTATAATATATGTTTTACGAAGGTTTTATGACATGCTAGGGTTTTTGGAAAACCTATTACTTATTATGCTATATGAGTTTTCTAAAATTGGGGGTTAGTACGTTGAAGAGTAATTGTTTTAGTATTACATATATAATAACTTGGTTCAGTCATATTTTATTTTGCACCCCTTCAGGACCTAGGAACGAGGCATACAACCCGAGCTATGATGCATTCCCATATTAGTGAATTTGTGTCCTCCTCTCTGCGTCGTACATCTCTTGTAATTGCACTTTTTGATATTCCTTTCGCTTGTATTTCGAATTAATAGTATACTCTGAACATGTCATGCATTATCACTTTTAAATTGGTGACAGTTGAATATTATCTTTTATTAAGATTTGTACTTGATTACTATATTGCGTAGTTACACGCGAATTTATATGCATGTTTTACATGTTCTTTGTATATGCATTCATGAAATGACTTGCATCACCTTCAGTTGTTGGCCAGTACGTGGCCATCCCATTGTCCTTTGGACACCGGGATCTGGGTGTGTCAGATTGGTATCAGAGCATACTTAGGACTTCATTATTTCCACTTTGTTGTCATAATCCTTCGTGCAGCCACAATCTTTCGTCTTTCTAAATCTTGTTTGCCTCTTATCAAAACCATGGATATTGGTGGTGGGAATATGCCTCGTCGGCCTCGTTCTGGTTTGATGGGTGGAATTCAACAATTAACCTCCGCTCTACAACATGTTTTCCCTGTTTGTAAGGAGGCCAAGGATTGGCTCGAGAAAATGGACACTTTAGAGGGTATGTCCTGCCTAGCGGCTGATTGGGCAAAGACTGCAGGTTACTTTATCCAGGGTAGTGCGAGATTTTGATGGAAATCAATGAATAACTCTCGGCCATCTAACTCAATGATGACTTGGGCTACTTTTAGGATACTCTTCAGTACACACTTTTTGAGCCCCTAGTATCAGTTGAGAAAGATACAGGAATTCTCGAGTTTGCGCCAGGGCAATTTAACGATCATGGAGCTGGATAGTACTTTTCGACGATTGGGGAGACACCACTACCCGGTCTATGAAACCCCTTAGAAGATGATGGTACAACTTGAAATTCCTTTGAATATGACATATGTGAACTCTTCGCACCACAAACTTATGCATCTTATGAAGAGATAATTCAGGCAGCGTTGAGGGTTGAACAGTCACGTTGGAACGGAGTTACCCAGAATCACCTCGAAATCAGAATTAGCAAGGTCAAGGTTTCAGATCTTGGAGCACGAGGGAGCCTTCCACTCATTTCTCTTCTTTCGACCCTAGACACTCATTTTCATTCAAACGTCATGGCCAAGGTTCGGGATCTTCCAGTGAGGGATCTGGCAATGAGATAGCGAGACAGTCTTTTAGTCACTTTAATCCATGAGCATTATAGGTCACTTTGGTTGATCGTTTTGATCACCAAAATGACATCTTCTTACCTGAAGTAAGAGGCCTTAAACTTCAAGAATAAGGGCAAAGCATCCGAAACCATGGATGCAGATATGTGATATCGTTGTGGTTCAAATGATCATTGGTCCCATGTTTGCCATGCTCTCTAAAAGGTTGTAACTGAATAACATTCTCGTCGTA